GCAGCTCCAAAGTGTTGATTGGCGGGCGGAGAGTAACGCAAGGAGGGAGAGAGAGAGAGAGAGTGAGATAGTGCGGCAGCGTTGTGAGTCGAGAGCAAACAAAACGCTTGGGCCATTCGCTTGACATGGCTCTGTTTAATATTAAGCATACGACGCGTGTGCACAAAGCCTTAAATACTACAACAAAGCCGCATGGAAACTCGCAAACAAACAAAAAAAACACAAAACTTGATGAAAGGAAAGGAAGACAAAGCCTTCAAAATATATATAGCTAATACCCTGTAAATAGTATTTATTAAACTTTTCCACTAATACTTGAAATTTATATAGAAACGTAAAATTCAGCAAGGCAAAGACTGATGTAGGTTAGTAGTTGGAAGACTAAGTAATACCCTGTAAAAAATATCAAATTGTCTGCACTAACAAAGAGAGAAGCCAAAGGAAGAGAAACAAAAAGTAATATATATATATATATATATATATATATACAAATATGCAACTATATATATATATATACAAATATGCAACTAAGTAATACCCTGCAAACAGCATCATATGCGTAAGTAATGTCCTAACTACGTTTAAATTATTTTAACTAGTTCATTAAAATGAACCGCTAAATTTATGGTGATTCGTGATTCACCAGTCGCTCATGAACATTGTTTTAGGCTTAGTAGTTCAGCTGCTCATGAACGACTTGGTAGATTGAGTAGCTTAGTTGTTCATGAACGACAAGTTCTAGTGAGCCATTAAGCTCGAGCATAAGTAATTGAACCACTGCATAGCTAACGAATAAAATGTTCATTAGTACACTAAAAAAGAACTAGAACTAGTTCCTACTCTCTCTCTCTCTGTACAATCAATACAAAAATTAAATTAAGAATTTCCAGATGCCTTAAATTATATATATATATATATATATATATATATATATATATATATAATTTAAGGCATCTGGAAATTCTTAATTATATATATATAAATCTACCCTACTACACACCTCCACTGCTTACAGGGTATAATAAGCGCCACTCAACACGCTTGATTTGCGCTTCGTGCCAGAAATACTTGTCGAAAAGTTTTGCCGATGCGTCGTGCCGCTTGCTTTTCACTTCAAAAATTCCGTTTTGACTCCAACTTTGTTGCTTTTAATAGCACCTTGGAGTCAGGCAATTGGTGTCTGTATTTAATTAGTCGAACTTCGGCACATTGAGAAAGTTTCGCCAACAACTTTCTCCGACTAATCACATAGTAAGTCTCTTTAAGTTTGACTTTTGCTCTTTGATATCCAATTAACTTTGTAAAGGTGTGCTTCAAAAGGAAGCTGAGGATTAAATTAGTTTAGGTTTGATTGAAATACATGGCTGTATATACCCACTTTAGCATATTTATAGGGCATTTCGCATACTCGTCTACGAACAAAAATCAGTTTCATTCCATATTTATATCTGGTAAATGCAAATGTTGACTTATTTCTAGATTAGTCTCTCAATCCCTCACTCTCTACTCTCGCTTTCTACTCTCCCTATTTCTATCTCTCTTTTTATGTATTTATGTTTTCCTTTTATTTGTATCCTTCCCTTTATCATGCCATTTTTACTCTCTTAGAAAGAAAGAAAGAAAAAGATGCAGAGACAGGCTGAGAGAAATAAAGAAAGAGTTATTTCTCTCAGCCTGTCCCTCCATCTTTTTCTTCTCTATTTCTCTCTCATCTCTTCCTCTCTTTCACCCCCGTTTTCTACAGCCTCTCTCGCTTTTTTTCTATATTTCTCTCTCTTTATTGAATCTCTTCGTTCGCACCTAGTCTCTCTTTCTCTATATCTTTCTCTCTCCATCTTCCTTTCTCCATACCTTTCTCTTTTTATCTTCTCATCTCCGTCTTTATTTACTCTTTGACATTTGCTCTCTGTCTCTCTCTCCCTCTCTCTATCTCTCCTTCTCTCTCTTTCTATCCCAATCCCTCTCTCTTTCTCTCTGTTGATCCCAGCTCACTCCTAATTAGGTGCAATTGCTTGATGCTAAACTTTTAGCAGCTACTGTGCTGCTGTGGCTTACATCAGAGTCCCAGTCACATGCAGCGGATAAAAAAAACAAACCTAACGAATGTGCATTATAAAAATTAATGGGTCATAGAAATTAAATGACAGCAATTCGTTAGCATTAGCTGCGAAATTAGCACAGTAGCCCAGGCGAGCTGCTGATAGCTAAGAGTCTCCGACTGTCCGTCTGTCCGTCTGTCCATCCGTCCGTCCGCCTGTCTGTCTCCAATTACAATGAGAATAGAATATGAAGGAAGCTCACATGTAATTCACAACATATTGACATCGATATCAACAGCGTCCGGGTGCGTGGGTGGGTTAATGAGCCAACAAAGTTTGGCCATAATGTAGTCAGGGCACAAACTTGAAATGAACCAATCAAAGCAACGAAACCCGAAAACATTTCATTACCACCCAATTAATCAAGTAATCAGCCGGCTAATCTTAACTTGAACAACTTTCAGCTTGTTTACATGCGTAAAAAATAAAATACATAAAAAAAGAATAATGATGATTAAATTGAATTGCAAATGGAATTTCTCACTAAAAGACATCGACTGTGCTGAAACTTTTGACTGCTATTGATTAAAGGCGATCGTATAGAAGACTTCTATTAGAATTGATAACTTCTTATTTAATATGATTTTCAAACAGCTCTATATAATAATTACAAACTGATCCATAGCATGAAAAATATTATACATTCCCATAGAAAAATAAAGAAAGAATTTAAAAATGAAGATCGTAATAGATCTATATAGATATTATCGTCTATACCCGAAACTTCATCAGAAGTAACTTGGAACTAAATTAGTTATTAATGAGTACAGAACTCGTAGACTGTCTATGTTTTAGTAGAACTTATAAATAATCTTTGTCTAGTTTTTAAAGTGTGCGAAATATGCTCGATTAACTCAAATTTGCTATCGATTTCAGGGCAAAGCTAATCAGTTATCGATCATTTTAAAATAAACTTGAACAACGCATGCTATAATCAGTATATACAACTTGAAGTAGCCAACTCTTGGGGTTATAGACATATAAAAAAATATATATTTATTTTATATATTTCTATATATTTTATATATTTGCATATCATGCCAAAACATCATTAACCAATGTTAAGTAAATTTAAATTGGTAAAGATAACAAAGATTAAGTCAATTAAATATTATTAAAATATATCTTCAGTTCCAAAGATATAAACAACTTTTTTGTGTAACAGAAAAATGATAATATAATAATATTGAGATTATATCTCAAATATACCCAAAGCAATACACAGTCAGTACAGGGTATCTAACGAACTGCACTATTGACTTGACTTTGAAATACTTTTCTATAAATTTCTTTTTTGATCTTGTGCCAGGGCGAATGAGGAAGAGATGTGCCCAAGAATCATCTATCTATGGCAACGTCTAATCGAGATAGACAATAGACAATATATAGATCGAGATGAGATGAGATGAGATGAGATGAGATGATTCAGGTGAGCGATTTTTACGATTTAGCTACATTGTTTATTTTTACTGGACGCTATATGTTTAGCGCTGTCGCGTCGGCAAATTATAAACAACATTCTCGACACGGATTTATACATTCAGATGGGCTTGTAGCATTTAGCATGCACATGGATCCACAATTAGGCAGACGCCATAAACAGTTCCATTAACTGGGCTGTCCTAGCACTTGGGGTTTACGCTAATAGTTGCTTCTTCTTTACTTTTGGCCCAAACACGTTTCGGCGCCGCAATTCAATTGCTTCGGCAGCCAAAGGCTAAACAAATGGCAGCTGCAACTGCTGTTGCACTTTACCAAGTGCCCAGGGTCAAGTGCCGCATGCCAAGTGAATGTGAATGGCCGAAGTTCAAGTGCAGGGCCAACAGCACAAGCCGAAGGAACCTTAGATCCTTCGAGCTTTTGCCTTAAATCTTAAAGTTCACAAGTTTTCGAACACCTCTTCCTAAGGCTGCACGATAAACAGAGCGCATTGAAAATGGGCAAACAGAGTCGAATGGTTTTTTCGGTTGGTTTCTGTGCTCTACTCATAAATCATTATAGTCGCCCACGACGGGGACTGTGGTCTTCATACTTGGACCTCGGCTGCGCTTCTGAGACTTTTCACTTGAATATTTAAAAATTTATTAAGCTTAAAGTTGGCATAACAAAAACTAAAAGCGCAAAACTTTGCGTTGCATTTCAATACTCTTTAATGAATTGAATACATTAATTTAACTTACTTTATTTTATTAGTTGTTCATTTGTCTTACTATTTATTTGCATCATTTATTATACATCTTTTTAAATTATAATAAAAATATATTTTTCAAAATTATTATATCAAATCAATCTCTATTGTTAAGAAAGAAAAAAGAAACAAATTATTTATTAATTTGATATAAATATAAATAATAAGATATAAATATTTTTTTAAAAAAGGACAATTTTTTATATGCAATTTAACGTATTATAAAAAGCACAAATATAAAACCCGAAATAGTGAAAATTTGATTTAGATATACATATAAGTAAATATAGATTATTTTGCAAATATATTTGAAAGTCTAAAAAGCAAAAATATTCAGCATTCTATACAGAAATGTTCGACTAAAAAATGGTTTAAAAAATAATAATATATATTTAGTTATTATATATATTATTATTATTATTTTTTCTTAAACCATTCATTTAACAAAAATATTAAAGTTAAAAAACTGTATTTTAATAGCAAACATATCATAAAATCACAATGAAAGCTAATATCTCAAAAATAATAACAAAAAAGGAAATTTTAGAAAATGGAAATTATAAAAAAGAAAATCTCTGTTTTTGATTAAACTCTTTGCAGGCCCAAATATCAAATATCGACAATATCAGTGATAATACTTTACAGTTATATGCATAGTGCAAAAATGGTTTTCTCTACGAAAAGTAAATCAATCATATTAGATTATTCCATACCTTACATTAAAATGTCTATCAATTTTTGCGCATCTGTTGGCTGTCAGTTGTCGGAAAATGCCGAAGTATCGCGTATAATTAGCGGTTTTTACTTGTCATTTAATGAATTTCGCTGGAGCACTTTGAGCGACACAGATAAACACACAGATGTGCATCAATTTTCAATTGTTATTTATTGTGCTTACATTTACGTTTGGTTTCTTAGTGTTTCCTTTGGTTTTTGTTGATTTCGGATATTGATACACACACGTGTCTGCAATTTGTCGAATTCAAACGGAACGGAAAATACGCTAAAGGCATATGCCTAATTTTTGTTGTTTAAATTTAGACTTTTTATCACTTCTACTTTTCGCACAGACAACAAAGCCGGAAGCTGACTTCAACGCTTAAATTTCCCGCTATGTGAAAGATTGTCGCTTCCGCCGATTGGCAGCTGCTGAACTATCCACGGCAAGCGAACGCAGACGACTTGTTGGCGCGCTCAAACTCGTCGACATTTTGACTGTGGCTGTGGCGGTCGCTGTGGCCGACAATAAGCATTCGGCACACAATTAAACCAAAGATTGTCAGCGGGCAGCGTTGCGGCGGACAAACGTTTGTGTTACTGCCAAATGCCGGCTGTTGAAAGCGCCTGCGCAAGTATTTGTTATATATTTGAACTAACAATTTATATTAAATGCACAAAACCATATTGTTTTCTTAGCTTATTTGCATTTTCATTAGTTTTTCTTAAGTTTTATTTGTAAACATTTTAATTTGCAAACGGGTAAACTTAAAATGGCACTGTTATGCTCACATGGTACTTCTACATTTAAATTAAAAAAGGGCGGGCTGTTCGCACCATAAATTATTAGTAAATAATAAATAAGGTTTAATTTAAATTTATTGCAAATTTAATATTTAAATTTTTCTAAACGATCATCTATTAGCTCTAAACAATTTTTTATATTTATTTTATTCAAAAATTATATATATTTTTATATAGCTTATTATTTATCAGAAAGATTTATAAATAATGTTAAGTCGAATGGTAAAAAATAACAGTGTTGACAAATATGAAAATCATCGTTAAAAACATCGATTTATACGTATCACATATCGATAACAGCAAACTTGTATTAGTCCTCTTTTCTTTGATGTCTTGTGAATGACATCGTTTTGCTGTAATAATTGTAAGTTTTTACGAAATACTGTGTCTATTGATTCATTAAAGAAGTTGAGGATTATAAAGCCCATGGATTGGCATGTTTTGCCATTGGCGTTTACATCAATAACTTTGTAATTGTGTGCAAAAAGTGTATGTCAATGTTTGGCAAACGCCATGTTGGCCGCTCAAACATAACCTCAACCGCTCTGTGACACCCCAGTCAAAGGCAGTTAAAAATTGTAATCGTATTGTATTTGTCGTTTTTGTTGCAGAACACGGCATAAGCAGAATTAAACACCATGTCACGATTCTTTGCCAACGGCTCCGACTCGGAATCCGAATCCAGCGAAGAGGAAGTTCAAGCATCCAACTTCAATAAAGCAACCAATTTTGTAAGTACAAAATATCAAATAATTTAATACTGAATCATTTTATGAAATATACATTTCCTGCTTCAGCAATTTAGCGATGACGAAGAAGAAGTAAAGCGTGTCGTACGCTCCACCAAGGAAAAGCGCTATGAGAACTTAACAGGCATTATTAAAACGATACGCAACCATAAGAAGATTAAAGATATTCCCAATACGCTGAGCAGCTTTGAGGATTTAACACGAGCCTACACGAAGGCGCTGCCTGTCATCTCTAAAGAGGAAAATGGCATTACGCCCCGCTTCTATATTCGCTGTCTTGCCGAGCTCGAAGATTTCATCAATGAGGTGTGGGAGGATCGGGAAGGACGCAAGAATCTCTCGAAAAACAATTCAAAGTCGTTGGGCACATTGCGCCAAAAGGTACGCAAGTATATAAAAGATTTTGAAGAGGATCTGGCACGTTTCCGCGAAGCACCCGATCAAGAAAGTGACGTTGAGGAGGGCGATGGTGAAGCGCACGATAGCGATGCCGATCGTGCAGGCGCTGACAGCGATGATGGCGTTTGCATTGGAGTTGGTAAACTTGCTGAGTTGCCGAAGGCAGCTAAATCGGTGGCAGCTAAAGTTATTGCTGATGATGATGATTCGGACGATTCGATTGATTGGGACTCGGATACCGAGTCGGAAACTGAATCGTCAGAGGATGAGAATCTATACCAGAACATGCGTGAGCGTTTCCTTAAGCGCACCACTGAAAAGGAGGACAAGGATGATGACAAACGCAAGGATAAGCGTAAGGAGCAGAAGCACAAGGTGCGCAAGCGTGCCGACGACGACGAGGATGGCGAATGGGAGACTGTCGTCAAGGGCAATGTCGTTGAGAAGCCTAAGATGTTTGAAAAAGATGCTGAAATCGACATTCCTCTAGTGCTTGCAAAATTGGTTGAAATAATGTCGGCACGCGGTAAGAAGCGCACCGATCGCCGTTTACAAATTGATTTGCTATTTGAGTTGCGGGACATCTCGGAGCAACATGCTCTGGGAACGCCAATTAGTGTAAAGATTCATTTTAACATCATTTCGGCTATTTTCGACTACAATCAAAAGATATCCGAGCCCATGAAGCTAGAGCACTGGGCCCTGCTACTCGAAGTGATGCAGAGCATGTTGAAACTGCTGCTCGCCAACCCGGACATCAACATGAACGAGAATGTGGCCGAGGAGCATGAGGAATATGGAGCAGCGCCATACTATATACGCGGTTGTCCCCTAGCAGCTGTTGAACGTCTGGATGATGAGTTCACCAAACTACTGAAGGAGTGCGATCCACACTCCAATGACTACGTTTCCCGGCTCAAGGATGAGATCAATGTTGTGAAGACCATTGAGCTGGTAGTTCAATACTTTGAGCGTTGCGGCAGCAACAACGAACGTTGTCGCATCTATCTACGCAAGATTGAGCATCTCTATTACAAGTTTGATCCGGAAGTGCTCAAACGCAAACGTGGCGAGCTACCAGCTGCAGGCACCGCACCGTCATCGGTTGAAGTGATGGACAAACTATGTAAGTTCATTTACGCCAAGGACGACACAGATCGCATTAGGACGCGTGCGATATTGGCGCACATCTATCATCATGCTATGCACGACAACTGGTTCCAGGCGCGCGATTTGGTTTTGATGTCACATTTGCAGGACAACATTGATGCTGCGGATCCGTCGACGCGCATCTTATACAATCGCATGATGGCCAATCTGGGCTTGTGCGCATTCCGCCAGGAGAATATCAAGGATGCGCATCATTGTCTGGTCGATCTAATGGTTACCGGCAAGCCAAAAGAACTGCTCGCCCAAGGACTGTTGCCTCAGCGTCAGCACGAACGTTCAGCTGAGCAGGAAAAGATCGAGAAACAGCGTCAGATGCCATTCCACATGCACATCAATCTTGAGCTTCTCGAGTGCGTCTATCTGGTTTCGGCCATGCTCCTTGAGATTCCTTACATAGCCGCTCACGAGTTTGATGCACGCCGCCGTATGATCAGCAAAACGTTTTACCAACAGCTACGCTCCTCGGAACGCCAGTCCCTAGTGGGTCCGCCGGAATCGATGCGCGAGCACGTCGTTGCTGCCGCTAAGGCCATGCGCTGTGGCAACTGGCAGGCCTGTGCCAACTTCATTGTGAACAAGAAGATGAACACTAAGGTATGGGATCTGTTCTACGAATCAGAGCGTGTGCGCGAAATGCTTGTCAAGTTCATCAAGGAGGAATCGCTGCGTACTTATCTGTTTACGTACTCCAATGTATACACCTCAATTAGCATACCATCGCTGGCGCAAATGTATGAATTGCCGCTGCCGAAGGTGCATTCGATCATCAGCAAGATGATTATCAACGAGGAGCTGATGGCCAGCCTGGACGATCCCAGCGAGACGGTGGTCATGCATCGTTCGGAGCCATCGCGCCTGCAGGCTCTGGCCATGCAGTTCGTTGACAAGGTTACCAATCTGGTCGATGTTAACGAGAAGGTGTTCGACATGAAGCAGGGGAACTTCTTCCAGCGCGGCAACATGGGTAATCGTGATCGTGGCTACAATCGTAACCAGAACAACCAGGGCGGCAATTGGGGCGGGCAGCGTCGCGACAATCGCAATCAACGCAACCGCAACCAGCGTGGACACCACAAGCAACAGCAGCAGCAGCAGCAACAACAAGTGCAGACCATCGAAGAGGAGTAGACACACACAAAGTAGAAGCCTTTAAACAAATCCATGGATAATATACTGATACTAGAGAAATGGATCTGTGGAATCGGAACAGCTGCTGAGTGTATTGACTGTGGTCAGACCTCCGATTCAGTTGAAACGCTGAATCGGAGGTCTACGTATACCTTAGCATCAAACCAATTCATTGTATCCATTTTATCCTTATCAATTATGCTGTACTGTGAATTTGTTATAACGCTCATTATGCTTAAAAACTAATTGATAAATGCATTTTGTATGAAGTAAAATCTAAAGTGCGCAAGTCTTTGATTCAAATAAACTACAAACAAAAAGAAAAGAACTAAAACACCACACAAGAAGCAAAACGTATTATTTTCAATATAATGTAAACTGAGATTAGATTTTATCTTGCTAGTTTTAAAATAAATTTAAATATGGTGCGGTTATTGGTGGCTTTTTGTTATCTGCAACTTTGAGCTTTCGGTGGTCAGCGTACCGTGCACTATCAATGGTAAAATATCGCTTTCATATATACATTTATATCGATATGTTATCGGCATAATTTCTGCATCCGACGCACGTTTTATTGGCACTATTATTTAACGAGTGAAAAGTATCAATTAAAAATTGAATACACTACAGCATGAACAGCATAGGCGACGATTGCAATGAGTTAAAAAAGCAGTACGATGCCTGTTTCAATAACTGGTTTTCCGAACGATTCCTTAAAGGAGAAACCGATGACTCCGTATGCGCACCTATATTCAAGGTTTATCAGGAATGCGTAAAGGTAAGTAGTTCAATGAAAAAACCCCTTGTGGCCTCATGCTGATAACATTATAACGCCCACGCAGCGAGCCATGCGTGAGCAAAAAATTGAATTACGTGAAATCGAAACGGATTACACCACCGCCAGTGAATTCGACAACAACAACAACAGCAGCACGACCGGCAACAGCGGCAAGTCGCAGGGTAGTCAAAATAAAAGTTGACCTCTAACGCTTGATTTACAGCCCCAGCATGGTGAGACAGCCAATCCGGATACAGAGCGTAATACATGTATTAGCCAGTCGGCGCCTCACGGAAGTAGGGATACATTCCCTGGGAAGCAAAAACGCAGTTCCACAGTCTAAAAGTATACAGCTCGTAGCAATAAGTGGTTAAAATTGACGCAAAATCATCATTAAAATTATGTTAAGTTAAAACCATGCTATAAATATTAAGAAAACATTACGGTTAAAGTTTGTAAATATGTATATGTATGTGTGTCTTAATAAAACATTTTACTAAATGGATAAATGTACATTACTTCAGTTAGTTAACAGTCAGCCCATATTAATATCTTGATGTCACACTAGACCACTGTTAAATTCTTACGTAAAGGAAAGTCCCGTTATTTTGAGTCTAAACGATGATAGCTGCCATCGTTTAAACTCAAAATAACGGGACTTTAATTTATGTAAGAATTTAACAGCGGAACAGTTACACACATACATATGAACTGTAAATAACGAGTCATAGTGAATTTTAATAGTACATATGATAGATGGGACCTTAAGGTAACGTTTACTTATAACTTATACAAATAAGCAAAAATAAAAAAAAGGTAGTTGGTTAAAATGTGTATTTTGCATAATCAAAACCTGAAGAATATGCCTAAATAATCAAATTAGCATGCGCTTATTGTTCAATTATCAAAATACAATGTTTAACAATCTTTTGCCTTAGAAACTAGTATTAGAATCGACAGCGTAGGGCTAAAAACACGAATAATGCAAAACGTTTTTAGCTCGAGAAACTACCGAATTGATGAAAACTTAAAAAACTACACAACTGCATCTTAAATTTATAAATGAACATTCAATAATTATTTGCCAGCTGTGAACTTGGAAAGCTTCTCCAGCAGTGCAATGTAAGATGTGTGCTCGTGAGCTGTAGCCAGATCGGAAAGCTTCTCGGCAAACTCATTGCTAATTCCCTTTTCCTCCAGGATGTTCATCAACAGATCGTACAAATAGCCATCGAGCACATCACCAGCAACGGCATAAACTTTGTCATTCCATTCGCCTTCATATATAGACATTTCATCGATAGAGAAAACATCGTTGTATTCGCCCTCCTGTGCTTCGCCTTCCAAGTAAGAGCAAGTAAACGATAGTGTAGAGGTACCCTTAATGATGTCCACTTCAAATTGCGGCTTGCTACGCATTTCACCCAATTCTGGTTTGTCGGCATTGGGATTAACTTCTGGCTCTTGCTCGCTGTCAACAGTGTGGTTTACATTAAAGCTAATGACGACCTTTTCCTTTTCCGTCTGCTTGGTCAGCTCGACATCGGCACCAGTGACTTTTACACAGAAGCCTTCCAGTGTGCTGGGCACAGTCTTGCCCTTTTGCACCTTACGCTCAGCAATAATCTCCTCAGTAAGAAACTCGACCAGTTCACGCTCGCCTGTGGACACAAAAAAACCGTTGATTTCCAATTTCAAAATATCTTTCTAGATGTCGCTAGCGACACGTTTGAGGTTATGTAACCATGTAGAAACATGCGTCAATCTTTTAAGAAGGAAAGAGCTAAACATTATGAGATACTCACCTTTAGTGTGCACATTGCATCCACAGGTGCAATTGATGCTGGGCTTATGTACATTTAACACGGTAACGTGGTCACCACCAACGGCCGGCTTTTTGGTCATGTGCCACAGGCTGCGGGTGAAATCGCGCTTGCCCAATGCTCCAGTTTTTGTGCTGGCCAAGTTGGCAAGACGTAAAGTTGCTGTCTTCAAGCTGTTCATCTTGTTATATAAGATATCAATTTATTATGATAATAATTGAAAAATGTGCTGCCGCTTCTGTGTTGCAACTTGCAATGGTCTTACATATGCCGATAACGATGTATTTAAATATTTGTGTATCGATTTATATAAAATGTTGGGTTTTTACGATAAAGTGGCAACGCTTTGCTACTCGGTCAGTCCAATCAAATGGGTGAAATCAGTGAAAAACTTCTTCTCCAAGTTGAGGAAGATGACACAGATCAACATCCCTGCTGCCCGCATGGACCCACAGTGCTCTTTTATCGCCAAAATCAAACACACCGTGATGGGTTCTATGCCTGCGCCGCATATCGTAATCCTAAGCTCTGCGCTTTTCGCATGGATCACATGAAATGGAAAGGTAACCAGATAAAGCGAGTGCCAGATATACGCGCCTATCCCCAGGAACGGTACGATGAAGATCCCGATCCCACAAGTCACCTGAAAGCACTTTCACAGGACGATGTGCATGCCCAGTACTTTTTCGATCAACAGGCCCTAAAATTCATTGCAGATCAGTGTTGTTTGCTGAAAATTGAGTAAGTTCTAATATAACAGGATTCTCCATGAATTATGTTGTCACGCTTATTTTATAGTAAAGTGGTATGCATGGGCGCGCCTCGTCTCCATTTCTACCTGCGACGTATACAGAAAATGCAAAGTTTCTTGCTTGATTTCGATGAGCGTTTTAGTAAATATCTGAGTCCTCAGGAATTCTGCCTATACAACATGTGCAACAATCACTTTTTCTACAACCGCCAACCCTTTGAAATGTTCCTCAAATGCAATAAGTAAGATTATTTAATGCAATAATCAATCCAATGCTTAACATATGTATTTTAGTGATGAACGCATCTTAATTGTCACGGATCCACCCTTTGGCTGTAGAACCGAGCTCATTACAAATACGCTGAGATCCTTAAAGCGTTTGCATAATAGCCTCAATCAGCTGCCCGCCACTCCACTCTCTATATTTTGGGTGTATCCATACTACATGGCGAACTATATAAAACAGGATATGCCCGAGCTGCAAATGTGCGATTATAAGCTAAATTACACCAATCATAGTCGATATACGAATGTGGGCAACTCCAGACGTTCCTATGGGTCGCCAGTGCGCATCTTTACCAATGTACCGCTTGACCTGTTGCGCCTGCCGCTTGCGCAGGGCTACAAACATTGTGATAAATGTCAACGTGACACGGCCATAGAGAATGTGCATTGCGATCGCTGCCGGAATTGCTGTTCGCAGAATGGCCAAACCTATCGGCACTGTGAGCTCTGCGATATGTGCGTGAAACCGAACTATGTGCACTGCTCGAACTGTCGCCGCTGTTGTCAACGTGTTGGACACGACTGTGCGTTGTATCAGTCGATGCAGCATTGCTGGTTGTGTGGCCAACGGGGTCACATTGAAAGTAACTGTGAAATCTGGTCACAGCTCTCACGACAGACCAACCAACCACAGTTAAAGGCCGGTAGATGTCTTATTTGCGGGCAACAGTGTCATCGTGAACGTAATTGCCCACGGCGCAATCGTTACTTCAAGGAATCTGAATTCATGGGACAAACTTTGATAAGATCACAAAACCGAAAGTTGGTAGCTGCACGAAATAAAGACAAAACTCGCAAGTTTAAGAAATTATAAAAAAAAATGAGTTAATTGTTATTTTTTCTCGTTTAATACCAAATTCATTTGATCTTAACACTTTTTGTTTTTAATCTATTGAACTGCGCCAACGACAGAAGCGCGAAAGTAATGCACATGAACATGACCACCATAAATTGTGGAATGGATAATCTGCCACAAACTTCAATTAAACGAAATTTGCAGCAAAGTAAATAGAAAATTTTGACAAATTATGTTTACAATTTAGTTCATCAATTAACGACGGGTAACTTAAGCTTAGACAATAATTAATTTCAAGTGGAAAACACTAATGCCTCAACCCACGGAATGCGACTGTTTGTTTGTTGTTGATGTTGTTCTGGCAATTGTTTGTTTGAAATCTGATGACGTCGACAATTGGGTCGCTGCGCGTACGTTGAGGTGAAAGTATTTATGTGCTAAAATGAACTGTCTAAGAACGGTTGTATTTTCCCCAAATGTGCAGCATGAAGACGGAGGCGATGAACAGCAACGACATAACCAAAACTGGAACTGGACCACTGTAAAAGCACAAGAGAATGCAACAAAACATACAATTATGTATTAGTGAGCGTCACTAATTTAGTATAGAAGCAGTCTCGCTTACACTTTAATGCCGGGTGAATCGTCTGTGTAGAAACGCCACATTCCACCAGTTCCTGCTCCGCCTGGAGCACGACTCCTGGCCGCTGTTGTTGTTGTTGTCTTTCGCTGCTTTAAAGTGCTACCACCACCAGCGCCAGCGCTACGTGGCGCCGACAATTTGCTGGGAGAGCGTGAACCGCTGCCAACGGACGTCGAACTTGCAGGAGCAGGCTATAGTAATAAACACCAGTTTTTTAATTTTTAGTTTTTGGTTCAATTAGAATTTTCACTCACCATTTTAATTTATGTGTTTAATTTTAATTAAAGGCAAATGTGCACTAAGTCCGTGAGTGCTGCGTGCTGACCTGGAAAAGTGTTGAAAGCGTTGAAATCGGTTTGACGTCTGTTCGTGTCGGTTTCGTGTTCCACGTCACCTGCCATTCGCCCTTAAACGTAACTTTGACAGCAAATACTCGATTAGTTTCCACAAATGTTTGATTAAAGTGAATAGCAAAATAAGTTGATAGTGGCGTTCGCGGGAAACTGAAAACTAGAGACTAAAACATGACGTTAATATAAGAATATTGTTTTTAATAAATTTAAGTATAAAATTATAAAGGTCTAATTATATAAATATACTAAGAAGTATCTTAGAACACGAACACAACATTTATAATAGCTACCGTTTTAAATTTGATTTTAGTTTGAATTTGAATACCCGTAATAGGATTAGCTTCATAAAGGGTTCTGATTACATTATTTTTATTCCATTTTATTATTTTGTATCCAATTATTTATAATAGGAGCATCGAATCCTGTGTATCAAATATTAATAAACGAAATGTTAATGAGTCGACAGACTGCGAGGCTTTAACATTTTATTCATCGCATTGAATCTGTAATGAACTATCGACTATTATATCGCTATCGATACCAAATGCAACATACTCAATACTTCTTTATGTGCGGTATTTCCAAGTTTATGTGATTGTAAAATAATATTTAATTTAACATTGCGCGCGGTGTTTAGCAATTTATAACTCATTTGCATGAAGAGCGCCATATTTTGCTGCATCGTTGCTATGGTGCGCAAATGTATACAACAATCCGACAGTGACAAACATATATTTAAAGAGTAAATGCAATCGCTATAGAGCGAAAAAAATAGAAAAAGAAAAATACGTAAATATATGCAGAGAAAATAGTTTTGTAAAAATGGATGATATAGAAATAGAATATCTTGACGAGTATAAAGACTTAGTTGTGCCAGGTGAGTATAATATTTGAAAAGATGCTGCCCTGCCTACGAGTTGTTTAATATTATTTGTTTTGCCAGGCATCAAAACAACCAGCGATGGGCACATGCAGCAAACGTTGATGCGAATGCCGCTCAACAGACGAACTTCGTCTGACTCGAGTGGTTCCTCGTCGATAGATCCAGATATATTTCAGAAACTTTTTGACGGCAAATTTCTTGACGATGAGTTGCTAACTGAAAGTAAGTTATCATTTTACATGACTAAATGGCTTTTACAGCCAATAAAGTTTATTTCTGCTAATTTTCTGTTCTGTTTCTGTGGCCTAGCAGCGAAAGGTAGTGCTCGCCGTCGAGTAAGCTCATCATCGAGTGAATCTAACGATGCTCTGGACGCTTTGTACAATCGACAAAGCAGTAAACTCAAGGGCACAAGACGTGATCGCCTAGAATCATATGATTCAATTGATGATTTGGGTATGTTGAATGTTTTTAAACAGTAAATCACACGCTTTTTTAACATCTTTTGATCTTCAGGTGATGCATTAATGGGTGCAACCCGCAACTCGCTGTCAAAGCCCACGTCCTTTCAGGCAGCAGCACGAAAGTCACTAAGTCACAACGGCATGGACAGGTCTAAAAGTGCAAAATCTGCGGCAAAGTGCAATAACCCGGAAAGCTTTAAGCCCGGGACGAGACCTAGCGGCAGAAGCAGTAGCAGTAGCTCATCGAACCCTCCCATTCTGCACAAGAAAGCAGTAACCATTATAAAAGCTAAGAAACCGGACTTGAATCCACCTAAGCATGAACCCAAAGAGGATCCACTGCGTAGGTATTTTATAACAACAACTCGACATTGACTGATTGTGGGACTTACAGATTTGCAGGACTTCTCAGATAACACAGACACTGATTCATCTTATGAATACGAGTCCGATTTTTATGGCTATGGCGATTCAGATGATGTCGATGCGTCGAAGCATATTATTGATATATCAACAGATAGCAGCACTGTATCTTCATTTGCGGGTAAGTCAAAGTTAAACGACTAGTTGATACTGCCAACCCTCTGATAATATTTATAATGTGCGTAAAACAAACCGTGTAGACACTGTGACACCTGTTGTTTCCGAAGACGAAAGCCTGAAGCAGCAGCAGCAGCAGCAGCAAACGCCACATGGTCATAATGATCGTCTACAGTTGTATTTAAATAATCTAAGTAGTGCCGAAACGCCTCCATCTAAACAAAAATACACAGGCCCAGCTAAAAAATCACGCACCCAGAAAAAAAAACAGTCTAATGCATTAGCTGAAAAAGTTCAAGACCAGGATCAAATTGATCAGGTGAATGCAAAGGGTAAGTTTTTTCTGATTCTTTATAACTTTTTGCGTATTTCACATTTATCACTTATTTCGCTTTTAATATTTACAGCCGAGAAGAAGTTTGACAGTCCCTCAAACAGTAAAACTGCATCGAATTACTGTAATGAGATCGACAAAGAATCTCCTGCTGATTACGTCGACGTTAATTTAACCTATGAAACCTTAGAGCTTTTAAGCCTCAATCTTGCCGAGGAAATCATTAACATTGACGCTGAGCGCTCCAAGGAGTTCGAAAGCCGTTCCGCTTCCAAGACGCGAAGCTTATCTTCTACAAAGAAAGTGGATCACCCAACAGTTAGCTCATCGTTTTCCAAAAGCCATGTACGCAAACTCACATATTCTAACGAAAAGTTAGATGAGATAGCTACGCCGCTAAACTCTCTTCGTCGAGCGAAAAGTGATGGCGCCTTTCCGAAATGTGGTAGTAGTCGATACTCAAAGAACAGAGCCGCCACCACAGAGTCACAGATCACGAGTAGGCCACCATCGCCAGCGAAAAAGATTGTAGAAACAGCAATAGAGCAAGAGCCAAAAATGGAGATTGAAGTTAAAAAAGAGCCAGAACAAATAAAACGCAAACGTGGTCGACCGAGAAAGAAGAAAAACAAAAATAATTTGAATAATTTCCTCTCGGAGCAGGCTAATCCACATCCGTCAAAAAATCAAAACGCTACTGTCAAAGTAGAGGAAAAGATGAAAATAACAACTAACGATTCAAATAAGCAAGAAGAAGCGTCGCTAAGCGCTCCGTCTGATACGATTTCGGAATTAAAGTCTTCGAACGAAGCTCCGGATGAGTCGCAACAGGAATTGAAAATGAATGATCAAGAAACAACAAAAGCTACCGATATAGCCCAACCACAGCTCAGAGATACAAATGTCAATATAATTTCTACCTCAACGGAAGACAGTAAGCTAGAAGTTAAGGCTGCTCAGAGGGCAGCAGATAATGAAACAGATAACTTAAAATTGAGTGCTGGGAAGAGTATGGATATTGACGGTGTTGAGCTGTTGAATAATGCACAAGGATGTGAAAATGGAGAATGCATTAAACAGGAAATGCCAAACACAAATACAAACAAAATAGAACCAGAAAAAGAAGAAAAGGATATAACAAACCAAGACTCTCGCGATGAACTGGAGAAAATGGATGTGACTAATACTTTAGCAACGGATATTAGCCAACCTGTTGAAGCTGAAGGTATACAAACTATAGAGCAAGAGACTGATAGACGAGATGAAGATCTATTGAATGAAAAAATGGAAAAGATTGAAAAATATTTATCTGAAGTAATGAGTCCTCAAGAAGATATTAAAGAAGTTAATAAGGAAGTGACTGCAGATGTGACTGATAACCAACAAGCGGCTAATCCAAACGTGGAAATGGCAAAGAAGAAATATCGCTCATTAGCCACTATCGTTTCTTCTCCAGAGATCACTTCGGCTACAAAAACGACAAAAAGCGAAAGTCGCAATGCCAAGCGTCTGCTTAGGGGTGACATTGATTCAGTCGGAATCGCTGAAACTCAGCGGCGCAATAGTCCACGGCTGACAGAAAAGTCACCGGTTACAAAAGCACCGAAGGTTAAAAGAGAAAAAACTAAAGTCCCTTCGGCCCCCAAAACACCCAGAAAATCGAAAGCAAGTAATGTAGAATCAAGTTCCCACGTAGAGTCAGTAAAGGAGCGACCGCTACGCAGCTCCAAATCAACAACGGCTACTACTGATGAAAACAAGAAATCAGAAAAACCGAATAAGTCTGCGAAAATTATACAAAACTCCGATGACAAGGATAGTGCCACAACGCATAGGAAATCGCGTAGCACAAAGCCTAAGTCAAAAGCCGAGCAGATTGATAAATCTAATTTAGCTACGATAACAGAATCCGGCCAATCTGCATCATTCGCACCTAAGCGCGATGCCAATGAAACAAATACAAGTGATGTTAAACTGAATTCAGGCAAAGATATTGATATTCCCACATCTTCGGATACTCATAAAAAAGTAGATGCTAAGAATATAGAACCCCTAAGGGAGATAACATTAACTAAGGAAATGTCAGATCTCGAACTGCTTAAAACATTGGACCTTAATGAGAACTCAAGTTGCAGCGAGCAGCAACCAACTGTTTCAGATACTCCACCTATTAAAGCCGCCGACACTACTGAAGATCAAAAGCATTTACATGAAGTTCTTGATTTGCAGATTGAAGGCGGCAATAAGGAAGAAAACACAAGCGAGCAGTCGGCCCTAGTTAAACAGCGCGCTGGAATGCCTCGAGAAATTAGAGGTCTATTGCAGGAAACAGGAACTGAATGGGAGCTCGAGACAGCAGGAAATCGTGGCCGTGCCACTCGATCAAGAGTGAGTACGCCAATTCCTGGAAAGTCGAAAAAAAGTAGGCTAAAGGAAATTAAATCCACCGATACTCCAACTTACGAACAAATCAATGATAAACCAGAAGCGAAACCCGATCAGTCTCCTTCCTGCAGTGAATTGTCTATAAAAGATCAAGAGAATGAATCACTCAACATAAATAAAAACCAAACGAATGAAAATATTGAAGAGGCTGCAGCGCTTAAAGCAGACAGTGCCGATCAGTCGGACCATCAGACTATGTGCTGTGATATACGACATTCAGATGAGAAAGGCAATCAGCCCGAGCTTGTAGAAACGGAGCCGGATCCGAGTATTTCAGTTACACCAAAACTTGTGGGTTCACATAATTCCTCCATGTCATATCAGGACACACCCACCACTTGCTCTTCGAACAGTTCATGCCGTAAGCTTCGCATTCTAATTAAGAAACCAGTGCCACGCTCTAAAATCAATTTTGGCCAACTTGAAAACGTTGAGGAAGAAGATGAAGAGTTCGAAGATTCTACATATCAATCTGATCAATCAGTTTGCAACGATGTAGAAGAGAAAGCAACTGAGAGCGAGCCAATGGCTGAGAGCGAGCTGATAAAACCATCCACTGAAGTATATCAACAAAATCTCGCTGATAAAACAGTAAATCCCACACAGATTACAGTAGATCAACAAATTGATCAAGCTGCAGCTGATACCAAAGTTAGTGAAGAACAACCAGATGTAAAGGATACTAAGGATAAGCTAACAGAGCAGGAAACAGTTGACACGGAACAACAGCACAATGAGAAGAATGCCACCATCAAGGAAGGGAAAGAAGCAACTGGGGAGGGGCAACAGGATATTATAACGTCTAATGAATTACAGCAACCTGAAGAAGAGGCATCTCAGCAGGCAACTTCTGACAAACAGGAGCAACAGCAACCGGATCAGATAGCTGCTGAACGGACGCAACAACCTACAGATGAGCAGCAGCTGGTTAAAGATAATATTGATAATTTATGTACGACGGAAACAACAGGTGTCGACAAGGAGGAGTGTATCGATGCTGGGAGCTCCAATCAAACGGATGCTTCTGAGCCAGATGGTTAATAGCTATTCCTATAATATAAAACATAAACTCTTCTCCATTCCATATTGTAGCTCGTTCTCTAATGTTTAACTTTCTTTTCTAATCTCATGTTTTTCTTTTAGTAGCCGCAAAACGCAAGCAAATGTTGCAAATGAAGCAAGCTGCCCGCGGCACTGCTATGGCACCACCAGCGACACCTAAAAAGGATCTATCCCCTGCCAAAGCGGGTAAGTTCAATATGTGATACAACATTTTGAAACAATATTAAATGAATCTTTCGCAGCGCGACGTCTAGGGAAGCCCATAAAGTTGAGTGAACAACCCAAACAAAAGCGTCGAAAACTAGCCGAGTCAAAGACACAGCATGGTGGACATGAGGACAAGAGAAGTCTTCAATTGGAAACCAAGGAGCTCTCTTCGACAAACAAGGCTGCTGAAGAGCCAGGAGGCAAGGCTAAAAAACAAATATCTGTCGTCAAGAAATCTGTGCCTCAAGAATCAGCATTATTAGTCGACAAGTTCGGACAAACATTAACATCCACAAAGCTCAGCAAGAAGCATGAAGCAAACAAGACACCGCCAATTAAATCTAGCTTATCAAAGTTACTTAGTGGTGACGACTCCATGACCGTGGATAACACAGTTATAATAACCAAAACTGAAATACCAAGTACAACACAACCGTTCAAAAAGGTGGACACGCCAGCATCTCCTGCTGGCGGTATTAACATCTCCGTCTCATTGATGCCTGATGTTAACAACCAAATGACTTTAACACCCAAAAAGCTATTGACCCAGACGGAGACAGCCAAGAAGCTGATATCTCTGAGTGCTGCAACACAGAAGTTGGAAGTATCTCCAATCGCAATACAGCCTTCAGCTTCAACTACTATCGAAAAGTCGCATACACCAGTTGCTGAGACTACCAAAAAGCTGAAAGTCCGTAAATCAGACGCTGATAAGCGAGCTCGAGTAGCAGGAAAAATCCCGTCTGCCGACACCAAGAAGAAACCAACGGCGACAGAGGAAACAAATCAAAACCTGGAAGCCAAAGAGCCAGCAAAACCAGCTGCGGTGGTTAACCCTATAGTTAGCAGAAAATCCTCACCACACACTCATGAGAAAAAGTTGAGTGCACACAACAGGGAACTATCTGCAGCTCCAGCCAAAACTAGCAATGACAACGCTGATAGCAACGACGCCAGCGAGGCAATGGCTACAGCGAAGGGTATGCACAAGAAGGATTTACGTAAGGTTACTGGTCACAAATCGTTCAGAAAATCAAAATCCAAGGAAGTGCCAGAAGTGTCGGTGGCAGAAGCCACAGCAGCAGCTGCAGGAGAGTCTAGGCCATTAGCAACAAATACCCCGTCAGAATCCCGGGATTCATCCAACGAGCGTAAAAAACGCTCTGCTCGCATGACAAAGATATCGCAATCAAAAGCTGCGACACCGGTAACACGTGCCTGCAGTCATGCACGTTCTTTGGCCGACACGCCTTCGCCCATGACCTTGCCCACAAAACATCGGAATCCGTCCCACGAGCGACAGCCAGCAACATTGCCCGATCTTATTGGGCAAATGGCACCAAAGCCGCAGCGTCAATCCCGGAAGAGTTCTAAACTGGCCAAAACTGAGGCGCACACCCCGCCTCAGAGTCAAGGTCCAGCTTCAGTCGCCGAGTCGGCGAAAGTTTCACATTCTCGTAAGCGCAAGCTGCCAGATAAGCCAGTGGCAGATGGGGTAAAACGTTCAAAGGAGCAGCCGGCTACACCGCAGGCAGCAATTGCTTTTCCAGTGCGAATTACAGCGGCTTCTATTGGCACAATCCCTGCTAGTGAGAAACCAATCGCTGACCCAATGGCGACTATTGAGATACCAAAAGCACCACCTCCAATAGTAGCGCCACAACAAGTGCAAAAGCCCAAGGATTTGAAACTTCCGGCACAGCCATTGCCGCCTAAGATGCGCAAGTTACGAGTGCGGCTTAATCGGAGTGTGATAACAAATTGGCTAAAGGGTCTGCAGCAACCGGGGCCATCCAATCAGCGGTTGGAGTCGTCAACAGCCCCAGCCCCCAGTGCCAAGACTGCAGCAAACGCACCTCCAAAGCAAGCAGATGCTACAAGCAAATTGCAGCTCGTTGCACGAAAGCAGCTGTCGAAGATACCCATTGCTAACTCCGTACCACTCCCAGTACCTTTGCCAGTGCTCGAAATAAAGGCGGAGCAGCCAGAAGTAGAGGATGAACCACAATCCAATGCATCTGCAGCGCAAACAATGCATATGGAAGTTGATGTTCCAGCGCCATCCATAACACAAGCTGCGGCAAGTATTTCGAGTAGCCACAGCAGCAGAGTGGAGCCAACGGCGACAACGCAGGCGGAACCTAATATAGCTAACAATTCGAACAACGCTGTCAGCAGTAGCAGCAGCACCACAGCCACTACCGCTAGCACCACCAACAGCAATAGCACAATACCGGCAGCGCGCACCGCCAGCGATCAGAATACATTTGGAACAACGAAAATGTTTTCGTTTTTGTATCCATCGCGATATCAATACTCCTATGGCCATGTTGGACTCGATTTTTGCTGCCCAAATCTGGACGGGCCGATGCAGGCCATTGATCCGACCCGGCTACATTCAAAAGTGGAAGTGCCAGTGCTGGAGCTGCCACAGTACATGGTCATCTCGACAAAGATTATTTCGAAGCAGGACAAAAACATACCGCAAAAGGTGCGCGCCAAACTCGAACAATTAGCAGCTGCAAACGATGCTGAACCCCGTGCCATACAAACAATGTTGCCACCGACGACGACAGCTACAATAGCAACGCCCTCCGTGACCACTAGTGCACCGGCAACCGTGAGCAATGTTAATTCGATTGCCAGGCAGCAACCTCCTCGTAGTACAACTTTGGCCAAAAAACCGCAGCCAACTAGTGCCGCTGCTCCAGTTGCTGCTGCGCCATCGCCGACTGTAGCCAGCTCAACAGCAACTGCGAGCACTCCTGGCTTTCTGCAGCTGCCACCGATTTGCCCCACTGAGAAGAGGCGCGTGGAGCTGCAGACACGTGTTCAGATCTTTGATCACATACTGCAGAACTTAGCACGGCGAGCCAGTTTAATGAGCGTTGAGGAGCGCCAACAAGTCATAAAGAACATAGTTAGGACGAGCAGCCTGCTACCGATTGATGTGGACATGGCCACCCAGGTGTTGGAGAACTATTCATATTATTTGTACGCAATCAACAATACCAGACTTGTCGAGCAGCCAAAGCTGCGCTCCATTGGCACATCAACTACGTCAACCACGCCCACATTCACCACCGCCGTCTCCACAGCAACAGCAAGCAACACTAGCTCAGCGACTGCTACTGCGCTACCAATGGCAGCAGAGGGCAGCAAGCCCATTTATGATAAAGGCAAGAATATTATTGGCTATCAGTACAAAACACCAAATTTGTCCTTGAACTCAGCGGTAGTTCGTACTCCCTTAGCGATCAGCGCAATACGTGGCACAAGCCCCAAAGGCGGGCAACCGCCAGCAGCAGCTGGATTAGGACCAACAGCGACACATCTTAGCCAACAGCAACGTATGCGCCTTCTTATGACTGCAAATGCCGCCAGCGGCAAGGTGAGTTTAGTATTTCTCGAGACATCATTGTGCATCGATTAATTGTATTTATCTATTGCTTATTATTCCCTTTGTAGGTGAGTGGGGCGTCACCCGCTGCGGAAGCTACGCGTGTTGCAAAGAGAGTAGGGTCTGGTACCATGATTCCCTTTAATCCATCGCCAGCACAAAAGACCTATGGAGGCCGGTCCACGAGTGTAACGTCTGCTATGAAAGCAGCCACAGCTGCTGCAACCAACAAAGTTACACCTGTTGGCGTCGTCAGTGGGATGCCTCAATTTGGGGCGAGCGGAAAGGCTTCGATAGCGTCTGCCAGCTCACAGGATAACTCGAATCGAAGTAATCTGTTTATTGTCAATCAGTTGCTGTCGCAGCAAGAGGAGTGTATACTACCAGATGCCATTGGTACAGTGGATGCTGCTGCTGACATTAAAGGCGAGCTTGAAGATGCAGAAATATTAACTTAATTCTTAGATCTAATTATAATTACACTTAAACTCTGAAAGTATTTTAAGCTACTTTACCAAAACTAAGAACAACACGCCCATATAAACCACAGATTAACATATGTAAAACATTAATTGCGGGTTATCAAAAAGTTTGTTGAATTTCCACCCCTTTACTATACAAGTTTTTTTGAAATAAAAAAAACGCTATAATCTAGATTTAAAGTTATATTTGTGTAAAGCAAGCTCAAGGCAAGTTGGTAGCACAAAAATTTAAATATTTCAAATAGTTCGTTTCAGTGAAATCTCATTAACTACTTTTTCACATATTGTGATCAGTAGTTCATAAACTTTGAAAAGCTCAAAAAGATGTGATTCGTTCACATTTACCAGGGCGACATCAATCTAAATTACGAGGGCTACACAAAAGAAACCCAACGATTAATCTTAATTTAAATCACTGTTTTAATATTTTGTGCCAAAATATGTTTGCTAGAGATTAATAAAAAATAATTAAGTTTTATTATTTTTAATGTAAAATTAAACATAATTACATGCAAAATACTTTATTCAAGCTTGTGACGTCACGCGCTCCGAGAGCGCCAAAGTAATGGAACTGCGCAGTGAGTCACCTTGTTAGCGTATGTGTACATGGCGTTCGGCATTCTTATAAGAGAAGAGAACTTGCGAGCACAACAACAGTTTTCGTTTGCCGGCTGTTTGCAACGAACGCATTCCTAATAAGCGGTCTCCGCATCACTTTTACACTTGTCCGCTCACCTTTTTGATTGTTTCGTTTGTCGTGTAGGCGCGCGCAGCGAAGCAATAAAAATCATAAATTAATAAAATAGGGAATATTCTGATTAGGAGCCGTTTAAGGAGTGTTGTGTGGTTGACGCGGCCAAACAATTAATAATAATAATACTAACTAATTCATGTGAGATGGCGGTCGAAATAACAAATTCAATATTATCGCTACAGCCAGCAGTTGAGGCTGAACCGTTGGCGCCGCAATCGTTCCATTGGCAGCTCGAGGATTACGCATACTTTCACAAGTGCGGAGAGATAACCACATCGCCGGACGTACAATGTTTTGGTTTCAATTGCGCCTTCTGCCCGGCCATTTGCCTACAATTTTCGGTTTTCATAGATCACATACGCGGCCATCACATGCAGGAACTGCGCCGGCGCTACGAGGGAGCCGATACGAAAATTGAACAAACAACGCAAACCGATTTAAATCTAATGATAATGGATATGCATCTCGAAGGTGAGCCAACGACAACAACAGCAGCAGCAACAACAACAACAACGACGTCGACGACGGCGCTGAATACAACACCTACTCCAATGGCCACAAAACGCACAAAGAACCCGCCCAATTGGAATGAGGCGCAGGCTACAATGGGGCTGCTAGACATGGACATGGGCCTAGACCTGGTTAACATTGCGCAGGCATCAGCGCTGCCTGCACAGGCGCTGCCAAAGACAAGCAACAACAATGCTGCGCTATTGCAGCTAAACAACACGGCAGCAGCAGCAACAACAACACCTGCCGAAATGGACTTCGTTTACGTTATGGAAAATCCATTGCCACCCTCGCCACCGCCATCGGCTGACATTTCGCGATGCGAGCAGAACGCCCGACTGCACTCGATAGATCCATTTGAAATATTGCATGAGGTCTGTTCTTCAACAGTCGCACACACACAGGCACACACACAGACGCACACGCACACGCATGCAAATGCAGGCACACACACACAAGCGAACGCGAGCACGTACGAGGCGGAGTCCAGTGGCGCTGTCAGTGTAGTCGCCCATCCCCGTTATGAGACACGGCGCGTGGTAAGTTAATCGTTGATTCTTGCCTACCCCTCATTCCTCGTGCCCGCGCTATCCCGCCCCTGCGGTCATTTGGCTGCCGTTGTTTTCCTTGTTGTTGTGCAAAGAACAAGAAAAGGGGTTTCCGTTATTCTGGCCCTTTGCAAATAGGTTCAACAGTGGTCGCTCGACCTTCAAAATAACGGCGCATTAGTGGCAGCGGCAACGGCAATGTCAGCAGCAGCAGCAGCAGCCGCCACAAAATACGAAAAACTGTGTCGCATTTATAGCATACCCTATGTCCATGCAGCGAGTGGTGTATGCACTGCTCGTTAAACACTTTAACTTTGGCTTTGCTTTTTAATTCGATTTTAGTTACATTTGCTACGAGCACTCTTTTAATTTGTTAGAAAGTTGGTATATTATGGCTATATATATAAAGATAAGGATTATTTATAAATTTATATAACATTTATGCACATGTAGGGTATACCATAGTCGAGTTCCAGCAAGCCAGACAATTTGAAAATCAAAAATAGAATTTTTTTATGGAAAGATTTTTCGTTTCGATTGATGCCAACATTTTGTGCATAACAAAGCAGGGTATGTCTCAGTCGAGGTGCAGTCTTTGGCCATTCATTACATGTTGTTTACGTCCTCGTTTATCCCGATATTCAGCCTTGGGAACTGTTTCGCCAGGGCGAGGCGGCAGGGGCGTAGGCAGACGCACTTCATCAGCTTCAGCAGCGAGAGTATTCGCTATTTTTACGCGCGACGTAGATTTTTTTTTCTTTGGATTTTCACTTGTTTTGGTTTCGACAAAAAATATTTTTTTTGTGGAAATACTATATACTGACGCCAAAAAAAAAAAATCTACGACAAAAGCTAAAATAGCAAAAAAATAAAAAAAAAACTTTTATAGCTCAGAGCGAACAACATAATAAATTAAGGTGCTCACAAAATAAATACAGCATAAGCGTGGAGAAAAAGCCTTCGATTAATGTATTTGAGCAAAAAGAGAATTAGAAAATAAATTAAAAACAAAACAAAACAAACTTCGATTTATTTTTTGCTTTGCGCTGATTTTGTCACTCATAAAAAACCGAGTAAAATAGTAGTAAACTAGCCATTTTAACATTTCACATAATTTGAATAAAACAATAATGTTTTAAAAGCCATAAATTAACCATATTTAACTGAGTTGACATTATAAAGAAGATT